ACGCCTCGGCCTTGGCGTTCGCCGCCGCCGCTGCCGCCTGTAGTAGGGCACGGCCTCGGCGAAGCCGTTGCCGTCGCCACCGCCGCCGCCGCGTGCACCAGAACAAACGCGATCGCTCCCTGCCGAAGAATATCGCGGTGGTGTCTGTGGTGTTGTTGCTGTGGAGCTCCAAGACGCCCAAGTCGGAGCCGGTGATGATCGTGATGGTCACGGTGCTGCTGCTGAGGTCTGGCGTGCTGCTCACGGCGAAGCCAACTGGATCCTGCACGCGAGAAGGCAGGTAAGCATACACCGCCACCACGCCAGGCCAGGGCCATCCTGGACCCCGGCATGGTGTATGCGCCCTCCTGCCTTGGGCAGGAGGGTCGATACAGCATCCTGCATCCCAGGATGGCCCTGCTGAGGCATGGTGGTGGTGCGTGTAGCTTCCCTCTACGGATCCTGGACCGCCAAATCCGGGGAGCCCGGGTAGAGCGACCAGTCGCCCCAGGCGGAGCCGGTCAAGCCGCCCTCGAAAACCACCCTGGTGATCGCCATCATGGCCAGACGACCGTAGGCGAGGGCCACCATCGGCGCCGTTAGGCTATGCCGTCGGGGCTTAGAGATATGGAAATATGGGAGGAGCTTAGGAAATCAGCTTGCTGAAAGCCAGGGCGCAGGGCGCCACTCGAGCCAGCCGATGACATGAGGGCGATGGCGACGACGACGACGCAGACGACCGCAGTCGCGACGACATGGGAACTGGCTGCTGACATCGCGTGGGTCGTTCACTCTTGAGCGATCTGCGCACCTGGAGGCCGTCCTGGAATCATGATTTCGGACCGCGGGTCGATTTCCGTGAGTCCTGGGGCCCGAAGAAAAAATACCCTGGGCGCATTCAACCATGCACGCCCACGCTGGAACGCAAGGAGGAGGAGACCCAGGAGCAACAACAACAACAACAGCTTTGCCCAAGGTGTTCGCGGTGGGGTTCGCCCAAGAGGCCTGGGGCAGAGTGGCTACGATGTTAGCCAGCGTGGGCCCAAACCGGCGAATCCCACCAGCACTTTAGGGCGTGAGTGGTCTAAGGAGCTCGTTCTGCTAAACCCCCTTTTTCCCCTTCGGGGAGGGGGTTCCCCCTCCCCCTACCCCCTCCCCCTGGACCTGGAGGGAGGGTGCCGCGAGCGGTTGGAGCGTCCAAGATGGCCCAAGATGGCTCCAAGCGGGTCCCAGAGAGCCCAAGATGGTCTCCAAGATCGCGCAAGATATCCCAAGATGGTTCAAGATAGCTATCAACATGCATCCAAGAGCTCTGGAGACCGCCCCAGGACGGCTCCAAGTGCCTTTCGAGCCCTCCAAGGAAGCCCTCAAGAGGCCAAAATCATTCAAATCCTGTATGTTTTTCCGATGTTTTTTGCATTGTCACCCTTTCGCGCCCGATGGCCTCTTGAGGCCTCAAGATGGCTTCTGGATGGCCCAAGAGGGCCCCAAAAGGGGCCCAGGGGGGCCCCAAGACCGCCCCAAGAACACCCAAGACCGCTCCAAGAGCGGCCCACGAGGGCCCCAAGAGGTTCATTTTCGGGCCCCGACGGGGGGACGCAGTTAAGGACCCCCCCGTCCCCGACTCGACCATGTCCTATTGAATTCCGATTCAAACACAAATAAATGATTAAGGAATTCCTCCGGCGGCTGGGACTCGACCATTTCCTATCGAATTCCTATTTCAGCGTTCCGAAGGATCCAACCTGTTTATACTAAGTCCCCGCGCAGGTCACTCCGATGCCCCCCCCCCCCCCAGCAGCCCTCGAAAGTGGCGACAGTTTCGCAGACCGCAGCCCCCCCAGGGATGGCGAAGTCAAATCTGTAGGGTCCCTTGGGAATCCTATGGGGTCCCTGAGGAATCCTATGGGTTCCCTTAGGAATCCCACTGGGGATCCTATAGGAATCCTGTTGGAATCCTATAGTAATCCTATGGGATCCCTTAGGAATCCTATGGGATCCCTTAGGAATCCGATGGGATCCCTCAAGAATCCTATAGGATCCCTTAGGAATCCTATAGGATCCCTTAGGAACCCTATGGGGATCCTATAGGAATCGTACGGGAATCCTATGGGATCCCTTAGGAATCCTATGGGATCCCTTGGGAATCCTATGGGGTCCCTGAGGAATCCTACTGGGATCCTATGGGAATCCTATTGGAATCCTATAGGCATCCTATGGGATCCCTTAGGATTCCTATGAGATCCCTTAGGAATCCGATGGGATCCCTGAGGAATCCTATAGGATCCCTTAGGAATCCTATAGGATCCCTTAGGAATCCTATGCGGATCCTATAGGAATCGTATGGGAATCCTATGGGCTCCCTTAGGAATCCTATGGGGATCCCTTGGGAATCCTATGGGGCCCCTTAGGAATCCTATGGGATCCCTGAGGAATCCTATAGGATCCCATGGGATCCCTTAGGAATCCTATGGAATCCCTAAGGAATCCTACAGGATCCCTTAGGAATCCTATGGGGTCCCTTAGGAATCCTATGGGAGCCCTTAGGAATCCTATGGGATCCCTGAGGAATCCTGTAGGGTCCCTTGGGAATCCGATGGGGTCCCTGAGGAATCCTATGGGATCCCTTAGGAATCCTACTGGAATCCTATAGGAATCCTATGCGGATCCTAAAGGAATCGTATGGGAATCCTATGGGATCCCTTAGGAATCCTATGGGGATCCTATGGGTATCCCTTAGGTACCCTGAGGAATCCTATGGGATCCCTGAGGAAGCCTATGGGATCCCTTAGGAATCCTATAGGAATCGTATAGGAATCCTATGGGATCCCTAAGGAATCCTATAGGAATCGTATAGGAAACCTATGGGATCCCTAAGGAATCCTATGGGATCCCTGAGGAATCCGATAGGGATCCCTCAGGAATCCTATGGGATCCTACCAGGACCCCTTCCGCGGCCGCGGAAGGGTTGCTGGGGTTGCTGGGGTTGCTGGGGTCCCCCCGGGCCGGTCTAATCGTCCTCATTCAACAACAACAACAACAACAACAACATCAACCACAACTACAACCACAACCGCAACCACAACCACAACCACAACAACAACAACCACAACAACAACAGCAGCAACAGCAACAGGAACAGCAGCAACAGCAACAGCAACAACAACAATCAATTTACCATCATGCGCGATGTTTCCACACGAAGCATGCGACCATCATGATAACCATCCCCATCATGGGGGACTCTTGTTCTATAGCGGGGTCCGTTATTCCCGTTCCCAGATCTCCCGCCCAATGAGGTCTTGTGAACACCTCCTCCGAGGGATTTCAACTTATCCCGCCTCGAAAACACATGCCCGCGCCTTGCCGCGCCGATGCGAGACCGCCAGTGGAATCCCAGCGAAGGATAAAGCACAAAGAAGTATCGAACGACAGGATTGCCTTGGTGGGGATGGGGGCTGTCGGCGGTGAGGCAAGGACCTGGCCCTGAATAGAAAGGGAGGAAGTCTCGAGCAGGGCTGCTGTTGTTGCTGGGAGCGGCGCCAATGCTGAAGAGAGTAGGGCGCTAGTCCAGCGTAAAACAAAACGAAGGCTCGAGCGGGAACGCTGGTTTTGTTGGGGCGGCGGCTTTCGGCGGCGAGGAGGAACACCGCCTTGAGTGAGAAAGGAGGAACCATTGAGTTCGAGCGGTGGTTTTGTCGGGACGGGGGCTGTCGGCGGCGAGGAACAGCACCGTCGCGAAGAAAAAGAAAGGACATCTCGAGCGGGAGCGTTGTTCTTGCTGGGAGCGGCGCCCATTCAAAAGAGAGTTGGGCGCCAGTCCAGCGTAAAACGGAAGGAAGTCTCGGGCGAGAGCGCTGGTTTTGTCGGGGCGGCGGTTTTCGGCGGCGAGGAGGAACACCGCCGTGAGTAAGAAGGGATGGAGCATCGAGCGGGAGCCGTGGTTTTGTCGGGACGGGGGTTGTCGGCGGCGAGGAACAGCACCGTCGCGAGGAAAAAGGGAGGAACCCTTGAGCGGGAGCGTTGTTCTTGCTGGGAGCGGCGCCAATTCAAAAAAAAATTGGGCGCCAGTCCAGCGTAAAACGGAAGGAAATCTCGGGCGGGAGCGCTGGTTTTGTCGGGGCGGCGGTTTTCGGCGGCGAGGAGGAGCACCGCTTTGAGTAAAAAAGCGAGGAAGCCTCGAGCGGGAGCGTTGTTCTTGCTGGGGGCGGCGCCGATGAGAGAAAGACTAGCGCGCCAGTCCAAGGTAAAACAGGAGGAAGTCTCGAGCGGGAGCGCTGGTTTTGTTAGGACGGCGGCTTTCGGCGGCGAGCAAAAACACCAGCCCTGAGTAAAAAAGAAGAAGTCTCGAGCGGGAGCATTGTTGTTGTGGGGCCGGTTTTGGCGGTCCCCCAAACCGCTCAAGCGTGAGCCTCACCTTCAGTGAAAATGTAGCTGGCGCCTCGGCGAGAGCGCCAGGGCGCCTCTAAGGGGTCCGACAACAATAATCGAGAAATTAACATTCAACAGCAACAGCAACAACAACAACAACAACAACAGCAACAACAACAACAACAACAACAACAACAGCAGCAGCAGCAGCAGCAGAATCAGCAGCAGTAGCAGCAACATCAACAAAGAGAACGACAACGACAACGACAACAACAACGACAACGATGACGACAACAACAACAACCACAACAACAACAACAACAATGCTCGCATAACATAAGAGCGATGTCTTAAAACATGATGTCTTAGGTACAACTGTTCCTAAGAACATCCCGCGCAAACCAGCGAAAAGGTTAGGAGGCAAACAAGCAGGTCGGGACGCTTCGCCACTGCTTGACCCCGCCTCCGTGCTCCTCGTCCCTCCCCCCCCGCTGCAGCGCCAAGTTGCCAGCTCGGGAGGGGCCGGGCCCGCGCTCCTCAAAGCTGGGCGAAGCCGCAGACGAGCCTCCACAAAGGGGGGCCGGCCGCCGCGGCCGGGGGCCGGGGGCCTGCGCTCACGGGTGCCAGGGCAGTGGCCGCACAACGCCCCGCAGACATCCGGCGGCGGGCGGCGGCGGCCGCCGGCAGGCGGCAGCGGCGGCTGACGGTGGGCGGCAGCGGCGGGCGTCCCCCACCTCCTCTCGCAGCATCAAGGAATCGCGACCGGACACTCTTGGCCGTGTTCGGCCTCGGGGGGGGGCCCCAGGACTGTCAGGAACCGGCCCAAGATGACAAGCCGGCTCTAGGACTCTAGGAAAGGAGCCCACCCTGACTCTGCTGGGGCGGTGGAGGTGCTTATTATGTTGTTGGGGTGGTTGTAGGTGGTTAGTGGGTGGTTACCCTACTTACCTATTCAGGTTAGCAACATAGATACATAAGCTGGATCCGAGCCCTTAAAACTAGGTTACTAAGTTGATTAGCTATCTGAGCTAACCTACTTACGGAACTTCGGCGTAACTAGGTTAACCTACATATAAGTCTTTGTTTTTTTTGGGGGCATTGAGTTGTTTTTTGTTCTAACTTCATTGTTTTTTTTCCTGCTTCATTGTTTTTTTTCTTCCCGTATTGTTTTTTTTTTTTTTTTTATCCTCCTGCATTATTTGTTTCGTCTGCTCTGGTTT